CTCGCGGGGTAGGTCGCAGGCGGGTCGCAGGGGGGCGACGCAACAACAACAACAACAACACAACAACAACAACAACAACAACAACACCAGTAACAACAACAACAACAACAACAACAACAACAACAACAACAACAACAACAACAACAACCATTTTAAGGCTGTACGCTCTTACTTGCCCGCGAGTCATTCAACACGTATACCCTACACCCTCGAACCCGCCCTCTTCGTCTTCGATCACACCCCTTTCGGGGGGATTATTTCTCTTTGCTGGGGCCGGCGGGCTTAGACGTACGGGCAAACCGGAACGGGCGGACAATCCTTCGGGGGCGTACATCTCTCTGCCCGCCATTGGAATTGGCGCGGGCCCTGCAAGAGGAGGAGGGGAAGAACGAGGGAGAGTGGGAGGAAGGGGAGGGGGAAGGACGAAGGAAGAGGGAAGATACCACGTTGTGAAGGCGTCCTTGGCGCGTGCGTGGTTCCTGAGCGCCGAAACGCAATTCCAGAATAATTTGTGAGGACGTCGCACGCGAGAGCGCAGTCCTGAGTACATTGTGAGGAAATCTCGGGCGGGAGCGGGGGCCCTGACTAAGTTGCGAGGAAGTCTCAAGCGGGAGCGCCGTTCCTGAGCAAATTGCACGGAAGTCTCAGGCGGGAGCGGGGGTCCTCACTAAATTGCGAGGAAGTCTCAGGCGGGAGCGCCGTTCCTGAGTCAATTGCGCGGAAATGTCAGGCAGGAGCGGGGGTCCTGAGTAAAATTCGAAGAAGTCTCAGGCGGGAGCGCCGTTCCCACGTAAATTGCACGGAAGTCTCAGGCGGGAGCGGGGGTCTTGATTACATTGCGAGGAAGTCTCAAATGGGAGCGCCTTTCCTGAGTAAATTGCGCGGAAGTCTCAGGCGGGAGCGGGGGTCCTGAGTAAAAATCGAGGAAGTCTCAGGCGGGAGCCGTTGTTGTTGTAGCCCGGGGGGCAGGGGCACAGTTTGAGCAGGAAGACTTTCCTAGAGAAAAAACAAGGTGCGAGCCCCGGGGGTGGCACTTCAATCGAAAAAAATCAATGTGCACCGGTGGGGGGAGATCAACAATAATTATTCTTCAAGAATGAGAGTTCAACAACAACAACAACAACAACAGTAACAATCATTTTACTTTCATGCGCGATGTTTCCACACGAAGCATGCGACCATCATGATAACCATCCACATCATGGGATACTCTTGTTCTATAGAGGGGTCCGTTATTCCCATTCCCAGATTTCCCGCTCTAATGAGGTTTTGCAAACACCTCCTCCGAGGAATGCCAACATATCCCGCCTCGAAAACAGATGCCCGCGCCTTGCTGCGCCGATGCGAGACCGCCAGTGGAACCCCAGCGAAAGGTAAAGCACAAGGAAGTATCGAACGACAGGATTGCCTTGGTGGGGATGGGGGCTGTCAGCGGTGAGGCAAAAACCTGGCCCTGAACAGAAAGGGAGGAAGTCTCGAGCAGGGCTGCTGTTGTTGCTGGGAGCGGCGCCAATGCTGCAGAGAGTAGGGCGCTAGTCCAGCGTAAAACAAAACGAAGTCTCGAGCGGGAACGCTGGTTTTGTTGGGATGGCGGCTTTCGGCGGCGAGGAGGAACACCGCCTTGAGTAAGAAAAGAGGAAACATTGAGCGGGAACCGTGGGTTTGTCGGGACGGGGGCTGTCGGCGGCGAGGAAGAGCACCGTCCCGGGGAAAAAGAGAGGGCATCTAGAAAGGGAGCGTTGTTTTTTGCTGGGAGCGGCGCCAATTGAAAAGAGAGTAGGGCGCCAGTCTAGCGTAAAACGGAAGGAAGTCTCGGGCGGGAGCGCTGGTTTTGTCGGGGCGGCGGTTTTCGGCGGCGAGGAGGAGCACCGCCTTGAGAGATAAAGGGAGGAAGCCTCGAGCGGGAGCTTTGTTTTTGCCGGGGGCGGCGCCGATGAGAAAAAGACTAGCGCGCAGTCCAACGTGAAACGGGAGGAAGTCTCGAGCGGGAACACTGGTGTTGTTAGGACGGCGGCTTTCGGCGGCGAGCAAGAACACAAGCCCTGAGTAAAAAAGGAGGAAGTCTCGAGCGGGAGCGTTGTTGTTGTTGTTGCTGCTGCTGTTGCTGCTGTTGTTGTTGCTGTTGTTGTCGTTGTCGTTGTTGATGTTGTTGTTGTTGTTGTTGTTGTTGTTGTTGTCGTTGTCGTTGTCGTTGTCGTTGTCGTTGTTGCTGTTTTTGTTGGTGTTGTTGTTGGTGGTGTTGGTGTTGGTGTTGTTGTTGTTGTTGTTGTTGGTGTTGGTGTTGGTGTTGTTGTTGTTGTTGTTGTTGTTGTTGTTGTTGTTGGTGTTGTTGTTGTTGTTGTTGTTGTTGTTGTTGTTGTTGTTTGTTGTTTGTTGTTTGTTGTTTGTTGTTTGTTGTTTGTTGTTTGTTGTTTGTTGTTTGTTGTTCGTTGTTTGTTGTTTGTTGTTTGTTGTTTGTTGTTGTTGTTGTTGTTGGTGGTGTTGGTGTTGTTGGTGTTGTTGGTGTTGTTGTTGTTGTTGTTGTTGTTGTTGTTGTTGTTGTTGTTATTGTTGTTGTTGTTGTTGTTGTTGTTGTTGTTGTTGTTTGGGGGCCGGTTTGGGCGGTCGGTCCACCAAACCGCTCGAGCGTGAGCCTCATTTTCAATGAAAATGTAGCCGGCGCTTCGGCGAGAGCGCCAGGGCGCCTGTAAGGGGTCCAACAATAATAATTGCTTAGTAATTAAAATTCAACAATAACAACAGCAACAACAACAAACATAACAACGCAACAAGCAGCTTCTTCACCACGGATCACCCTTTCAGCCACGCACCCAGGGACAATGAGTGACCGTTCGGCCCCCTCACTCTGATTATTATTATTATTATTATTATTTCTGGCATTCTGATATTTATGTGGTTATTATTTCGAGTATGAGTAATATTATTATTATTACCATCATTCGTATTCATATGATGGCTCTTCCTCCTCCTCCTCCTCCTCCTCTTCTGCTCCTCCTCTTCCCACGCCCCCTTCTCCCCCTCCCTCCTCTCCTCAGCCCCCTCCTCCTCCTCCTCCTCCTCCTCCACTTCCTCCAATCTCTACGGTGAGAAGGGGTGCCGGTCACCGTTGCCCGTCCCTCGTCGCCGCGGCTGGATTCCTGGCCAGGGCGCGCTTTGGGAGGGGTCCGGGGAGCAGCGGCATGGAGAGCGCGGGTCCTGGAGAGGGAGCAGGTCCCGCTGGGTTTTCTCGTCCTCGGCCCTGCAGGGGGTCCTTGCCTGGGCGGCCCCCTGGGGCCGTGCGCGAGCGGGCTCGGGAGAGGAAGCGGGTCCTGCGGGCACGGGCAGGCCCCGGGGTCCAGGACCCGCTCCCCCAAGTGGCCAGGCGAAGACGCAGACGTGAAGCTCGGGCTTTCGCGGGCGGCCTCTCCGCAGGCGCTGGGCCCCCCCCGGATCCGACCAGGTCTGATGGGCAAATGTTCCGCCACCACTACCGTATGTAGGACGCGGGAGAAGGAGGACGAGGAGGTCTTTCTTCTTCCTCCTCCTCCTCCTCCTCCTCCTCCTCCTCCTCCTCCTCCCTCTCCTACCTGTGGTAGTGGTGGTGGAAGATTGGCCCATCAGGGTCCTCCCTGGGCCCAGGATCGGTGCATGCGCCCTCCCGTGGCCTGGCCAGGGAGACATGCACGCTGGCTTCCGGGCAAGTGATCGGCCCGGCGCACAGCCCTCCCAGGCGCGCGAAGCGCGCCCTGGGGCAGCGCCGAGCAGGGAGGGGGGGTCCTTCGAATGTCGGGCCGGACGAGAGGGGGGGATAGGGCCCTGCGAGGAGGCCAGACGAAAGGGCGGGATAGGGTCCTTCGAGTATCGGGCCGGACGAAAGGGGGGGATAGGGAAAGGAGGGGTTACGAAATCTGGCAGTGCGTGCTGTTCGATCTGAAGGGCGGTTACCCCTGGGGCGCCGTCGGGGCGAGGCCTTGGGGAGAGCGCCTTCTCTCGGGCCGGACGAAAGGGGGGGATAGGGAAAGGGGAGGGTACGAAATTTGCTGCATGCAGCTGGATTCGGGCCCGCCGCCGGGCCCATTGCTCGATACATTGGGCGCCTCCCGGCGCCGGGAGGCGCCGGGAAGATCGGCTACGCGAGCTGATTCTCAACCCCCCCTTTGCTATCCCCCCCTTTCGCCCGGCCCGAGAGTAGGAAATCAACTACAGATTTGGCTTACCCCTAAGATTTCTTTTCCCAGTCGAATCTACTATAAACACGTAGAGTGCTCCGTCGATCTACGGAACAGTCTACGTGTTTTCCGTGGACTCGACGCAAAACAGCTTTGGGGTAAAAAGATTGTGTAACCGATCTTGCACTGGACCGGCGGAGAGAGCGAGTGCGGGCTTCCGAACCCAGACATCCTCCGACATGGCTTTTTCAATCCGCAACCAGGGCTCCAGACCGACTCCGGGGGGGTAGTTTTCCGTTCCGGATGCAATTCTGATTGTCTTGGGGCCCGATGTGGGCCCCAGAGACCAGACCTCCCAGATGGGGTCGGAGAAGATGGGGTCGGAGGATCGCGCCGCATGGCCAATGCACCGCCAATGCATCGCCGATGCATCGGCGATGCGGCTCGATGTGCGGGCCAATATTCTTCATGCCGACGTCGCCGATGCATCGCCGACGACGCCGGTGCATCGGCGATGCATCGGCGATGTTTCGGCGATGCGGCGAGATCCTCCGACCCCATCTCCTCCGACCCCATCTGGGAGGCCTCCACAGAGGCTGGAAGGAAGAGAAAATGCCGCGACAGAAAAAACGTATCGTCGGAGATCTAGGAAGCTTGTGTGCTCCAGCCACGCGCAGAGGGGAGTGGGGGGAGGGGGGAGGGCTTCTTAGAAACACCCCTGCTTCTTAGAAGGCGCGGGCCTTCTCTAAAAGGACAGCGCCTTCTAAGAAGCAGCCTCCTGAGAAGCCCTCCGTCCTCTACCCCCTTGTGCGCGCCGCCAAGTGCTTGCGCGCTTCTCCGGTCTCCCCCGAGGAGGAGCAGCACCCAGACGACGAGCCGCACGAGGGGCTGTGCTCGGCCACCCGGACGGAGGACTGCAGGTACACGCAGTGCTGCCAGGAGCCCAGGGCGGGGGAGGCCTCGCAGGTGCCCCGGGAGGAGGAGGAGGCGGAGGAGGAGGAGGGGGAGGAGGAGGAGGAGGAGAAGGAGGAGAAGGAGGAGGAGGGGGAGGAGGAGGAGGAGGGGGAGTGGGAGGAGTTGGAGGAGGAGGAGGAGAGGAGTTGGAGGAGGAGGACAGGGATGAGGAGGAGAACGAGAACCCAGATGTCCGACGATGTGATTGTTCAAACTGGGCGTTTTTCCACAATTTCAGCCTCCGGTGCCCGTCATAGGGCTCCAGGACCGTCAAACATCGATCCGGGACGAAAATTGACCCTGGGGCCGCACGTTGAGAACATCATATCGTCGGACTTCTGGGGGCGAGGACGAGAAAGAGGAGGTTGTGGAGCGTTCGTAGGTCAGTTCAGGACGAGAAAGAGGAGGGAGGGAGGAGGAGGAGGAGGAGGAGGAGGAGGAGGAGGAGGATAAGCATCAGCAGAGCTCACATGACACGATTAGGGGTCAGCGATGCACGGGCTCTGCTTGCGCGAACAATGGCGCTTTCTGTTGTTCAAGAGGTGCCGCAGTGTCGGGAGGGCGGCTTCGCACTCTGGAGGCGTAGAAGCGTCGTCCTCGTTATCGGTTTCATTTCCGTGCACGTCGCGTGGAACGGTCATCGTTGTGAACGTTCTAGGCCGTAAGTCTGAGCTCTTTGTTCCGAGCCAGTTGTGTTGACGTGAGCGTCATTGCCGTCTTGTTTTCTTGCAACTGTTGGCTACAGCGCAGCGCTATGATTACATGCTGGGAGGCCCTTCCCCCATCGCGATGATACGCTCCAGAATTACCAGATCTATGGAGATCCCGACCAAGCATAGCAGGATCGTTAGGCCATTTCGTCGACCCTCACGCGTCACTCGAGTGCCTAACGGGTTGCCCGAATGCCCCAGGGATGCGACGCGGAGGAACAGGAGGCGGACGCGCATATGCATCGCCGATCTATCGGCGATGTATCACCGATTCAAGGTCGATGTTTCCCTCCCTATGCCACTCCCCCCAATCGTTGCCCCTCAGTTTCGGGCCAAGCCGCTCGACGGCGCACTGGACGCGCCGTCGACCTCGTGGCCGCGCCTGGAGGCTGCATGCGGTGCAGTCGCTGTATACCGAGGTCCGAGCAGATGGGCCTCGCCTTTTGTGTTCCACGGCCTGCCCCTCATGGGGTTCCCAATGGGCCTTCCACACCGGGGCTGGACCTAATTAAACGCTGTGTGGCTGGACTTCGGCTGTGTTTTGTTTTACGTTTTGGGAGCGAGGTGCAGGCAAACAGGCTGAGCAAAACGAACAACAGCATGACAACAACACGAAAATAACACGAAAACAACACGAAAAGGCCCAGCCCAGTTCCACATCGACCCTCAGTGGCCCTGGCAGCGAAGGCTCGCGTCTGCCAGTGGGACGCAGCTTCCGAAGGCGGGCTGCGCGTGGAGGCCTGGGCTGCGCGGCTCTGGCGCGAGAAGCTGCTCTCGGACCAACCAGTCGATCGGCTGGGTCTGTGGGCCCCCTGGTTCGAGCAGGCTTCCGTGCTTCAGTTGGACACAGCCCGGATGCATTTCGAGCAGCGGAGTCTCCGGCCGCGCCAGACTGCGGCGGCAACTGGGGCCGCCAACGTCGCCGTGCAGGAAAAACTCTGGCAACAATTCCTTGCAGTGGAGGTTCACGCAGCGAGACAGCGGGTTATGCGGCATGACAGTGCGAGAGATGGCCCACAGACCATGGGCCACGTACCCGGCCGTGTCCCGACCGGTGCTGCCCCGCTTGCTCGCGGCGCGCCTGCGCACCCTCTCGAAAAGGGTGGAGCACCGCGCGCCGCTTCCAAGGCCATGCAGCATGCGTCTTCGGTTGAGCGGCGGGCGAGGACTCCACCGAGCATTACTCGGAGTGTCGCTTGGCCGCGGCCGCCGCGACGCACTTCGGGTGGGCCCGCCCCGCCACCCGGCAATCCAGGCTCACGAAGTTCTTGCTGCTAGAGCCGGTTTGGGGCGCGGCTGCTGCGGAGGAGCTGCAGCGGCGGGCGCGCTTGACGTGCGGTGTCTACCTGACGCATTGCTGGAAACGACATGCCGGGGCCAGCACCCCAAAAGCATTGCCAGAACGCCCTGCGGCAGAAGATGCGGGAGGTCTGGTGAGGCCGACCGTGGAACCGCCATTCTCTTCGTGTTTTGAGGTTCGAGCGCAGACGCGGCGCTGTCCTGTCTTTCGTGTTCCCTCTCCTCCTCTTTCCCCTCTTCCGTACAGTTTTAGTTCGGATGCGAGTCTCGCGGCTGATTGGCTGCTTGTCGGGCGTTTTTTTTTTTTGTTTGTTTCAGGTTTGGGGGGGTGCGAGACCGAAGTCCCTCCTGCTGTCTTCTTCCGTCATTTTTGGTATCGTCGTTGTCGCTTGTCGTTCTGCTCCTCGCGCCTTTCCCGCTCTTTCCTCGGCGGCCGCTAACATGCCTCCCGATTGGGGACATGATGAACAACTGCAGCTTTCTCTTCACCCCTTTGGGTGCTGTGCCTTGCTGTGGGCTGGTCGGCGGGCGAGTCCCTGGGTGTCCGCTTTCGGATGTTGAGGGATTCGCCGCCATGGCCACGGCTCGGGACGGTGCTCGCTCCCTCCTGGGTCTCTCCCGTCGTTGCTGCTTGCTTTGGGACCTGTCGTCGTGTCTCGGGGAGTTGAAGCGTTTCTGTAGGTTTTGAGCGCGCTCGAGCCTGAGCTGGGGTGCCCCCGGCCCTTTTTATGGGCCGCGGCGATCTGCCCGTGGGACATCGGCCTGGTTGGCAGTTTTCCCAGTGTTTGTCCTCCTCATCCCTTCCTCATTCCCCCTTTTTCCCTTCGTTTTCCCCGCTTGTTCCCTCCCTTAGTTCCCCTCCCTCCCTTTTTCCCTCCCTTGTCCTCCTTTCTCCCTCCCTTAATTTCTTTTGTTCCTCCCTTGTCCCTTTTTTCCCTCTTTGTCCCTCCCTCTTTTCCGTCCTTCTTCCTCATTCGTCCTCATTCCCCCCTTTGTCCCTCCCTGAATTGGTTGTATTGGGTGTCTGAGGGCCGCTGCCGGTCGACCCCAGGTTATCCCTGAGCTCGCCGATCCGTCCCCCTTTGTCGCCTCGCTCTGTGCTTCCGCAACCGTTGGGGCGGCCCTCGCCTGTCAAGCGGCAGCTCTCTTGCAGTCTGAACCGCTGGCCGATGTCATATAGGTGCCATGGGGGCGCATCCCATTGCCTTGCCAGTCCGATTTCGTTAGGGAAGTCCGATTTCGTTAGGGAGTTTTCTATATGGTCCTTGTCCCTGGCCTTCAGAATGTCTCGAGTCTCCTCGCATCTCTTGCCATCGTTTGGGTACTATGTCAGCTGATCCTCGGCGTCCGTGCTCACTGCTGCCAGTAAGGTCAGACAGAGCCTATTGGGGCTCGCGGCGTATCACTTTGCGAGGCGCAGGCACACCATGGTGCGGACTAGAGACTCTGACTTCGCTTGTGTGTTTACCTCGCCTTCTCGACCAGGCTTGCCAAGTTCATCGCCAGTTGTTTTCAATGCTTGCGCTCGTGGCTTGTCGGTCTCCCCTCCTCTTCGTCTTCCTCGTCTGTTTTCGCTCGCACTTGCAGGCCGAATTGCGTTACATGTTCGTCGCGCGATGACGCGCCGAGGAACAAACAAATGCATTATGCGGACGATGCGCACGATGATCAGGAGGAGGAAACAGGTGATAAGAGGGGGAGGAGGAGTATTAGAAGGATGGACCAACGAGTCCAGGATTTAGGATGGCATGAGCGTCGAATTCCCATTTGTTTCTTTGTTTCCACGTTGGTGCTGGCAACAGAAAAGGCAGTTCGACATGCAAACCCGCAGCTCCAAGGCAGGGCGCCCGCAGTGCCGTGCGAGTGCTCGGCTGGGCAATTTGGCCTCGGCGCACGGGTGCCGGAGCGCCTGGATGCAATTGTTGGGACCCTCTGCGGGCCATATGGAAGCAGCCTGGCAGCATTCTTTGCCATCCGCTGGCGATCAGGGCCATAGGTGGCATTTTTGGGGCCGTCCACGGCCTTCAGGGGCAGATTTGGGCTCCAGAGCCCGCTTGGTCTCTGTTGACGGGCCCTCTGGGCTAGTGAGCAACTGCCGCCATGGTGAAGGCAACACTGCGTCTTCACAAGCAGGCCTGGAGGCCATTTGCGGTTGTACCTCGGACCTCCCGGCCCACATAAGAGCTATTCTGGCCAGTGCAGCTGCATCGCAGGGCCCTCGCGCGCCCGCTGGAGCTTGCGCTCCAGGCTCGTCACCCCGATCCTCTCGATGGTTCGAAGAGAAGGGGGGCGGACGAATGGAGGGGGATCGGGAAAGGGGTGGGTTACGAAATCTGCCGCCTGCCGCTCGTTTCGCCGCCAGGCACTTTCCTCGACACATGGTCGTTCCCAGAGCCTCCAGGCGCCGGGGAAAAAACATCTGCACGCAGTGGATTCGCTAGTCCGTCCTTTGTTATCCCCCCTTTCGTCTGCGCGGCCCCGAAAGATGGGGCCTATGACTAGGAGAGTGATTTCATCTCGATCTCGCACCAGTCAAGGCCTCCTCTTCCCCCGTGTTTTTGCTCTCCATATTTGAAGTGCCGATCCCCCTCCTTCCCTCCTTCTCCTCCTTAGTCGTCCTCCCCTCTCCTCCTTCCTCACCCTGCTTCCTCCGCGTTCCTCGTCCTCCCTCCGCCCTCGCTCCCTCCCCCCTCCTCCTCCTTGCTCGCCATCGCCCTGGAATCTCGTCTTGGTTTTCCCGGTGTACCCCTCGGTGGAACACCATATTCGGGCGATCAGTTATGATTCTTGTTCGGCACGCACACGCACAGCGCGAACGTGGTAGAGCGAGGTGTCACGCACATCCAAGTTGAAGCCGCGCTCGTCTTGGCTGGGCCGGGTCGAGCAGAGGTCGTTGCGTTCCTCAGGGGAGGGGGGGAGCGAGGAGGAGGAGGAGGATAAGCTGGAGGACGAGAGGAGGAGGAGATCGATGGCGGCGGGAGGGAAAGGGAGGAAGGAAGGTTTCGAGAGGAGGGAGGGGGGGAGGATGGGTTGGATCGGATTGGTGTGCTCCCGTTGAGCCGGCAGCGGAAGCGTCGGACGCATCCCATCTTACTAAGGAGCCACGACTCGGAGAGGGAGGGATGGAGGGAGGGAGGGAGGGAGGAGGAGGAGGAGGTGGTCGAGAAGATAACGGGGGAGAAGCGGAGCAACGGAAGCGTGGGCGGGCGATGCCCCCTGGAGCCTCGTGCTCCGCCGGCCGCACCCCTGAGAGGACGCCGGCATGCAGTGCTTCGAGAAGGCGGCTGGCGGCCGGCCGGCGGCGGCCGGTCCGCCCCTGCCGCGGCCCCCTTTTTTTGCCTGCACGGGCTCTTCTCCGCTCACGGGAGGATCGGGCCGGCCGAACGGGGGGGGGATTGGGGCAGGGGGGGTACGAAATTTGCCGCATGCAGCTGGATTCGGCCTCACCGAGGGGCCCATCCCTCGGTACAATAGCCGCCTCCGGCGCCGGGAGGCGCCGGGAAAATCAGCTCATTCTCAAACCCCTCCTTTGCTATCCCCCCCCCTTCGCGCGGCCCGAGAGGAGGGGGCGGGAGTGGCAGACTTAGAGACGGCATAGACCCAAGACCCCAAGGCCGCTTATGTTAGCCAGCGTGGACCCGAAGCACAGCATATTAGGAGGTGCAAATTGAGTGGTGCAAGCTATGTGGTGCAATGTGCAGTGGAAGTAAAAGTGCTGCAATCTTCGTGGTGCAAACTATGTGGTGTAAACTTTGTCGTGCGTGCTATGTGGTGCAACATATTTGATGTGAGCTCCATAGTCTAAGGAATGTGGTGCAATCTATGTGGCAGGAGCGAACGTGCCGATTTATGTGGTCTGATCTATGTGGTTGAAGCTACGTGGGACCATTCAGGCGGTACGTTTGTTTTTGACAAACGAGTCGCCACATCCCATGCTCTTGCAAACATCCCACCCACCGACCAGCAACTTGGTTTGCAAAACCCATGCGGTGGTGCGGTGCATGTTTGGCGTTGGCTGGTGCATCTCTGCGGCCGCGCCAGCCCCAGCACGCGCGCGCAGCGGCCAGCTAGTTTGGCGCCACCGACGTGACCGCGGTGGCGCTGACCGCAGGGCGCATCCCAGCGGGCACTTCACTGCGAATCGGCGACTTGGGCAGGCGCGTTATCATGGCAACGCCGACGACGGTAGACACGATGATGATAGTAGCGATGCTGGTGACGATGCTCGCACCAACGAAGGCGCGGCCAGTGCGGGCGCCGAGGGGGATCACGCCGACGACGATGACGGCGTCCTCGCGTCTGTGATGGAGGTTTTGGAAAAAGTTCGACGAACGCGCGCGGCCGACGCGCGAAAGTGGCACGCATGGCTTTACTTGACACGGATCGTGCTCCCGCAGCACGCGCGCAAGGGCGTGCGAATGACGTGGGAATGCGGTGCCAGAGGCCCGCTTGGCAGAATTCCATGAACATGTTGAGAAACCGACGGTTCTTGAGAATTCGCAAGGGCGCGCGCGCAAGTTTTGTGTTGGGAAAACTGGTGTTGCGAAACCATGTGTTTCTGACTGCGTCTTGGATTTTCGGTTTTGAAGCCGTTCCGAAATCGTAGGTGCTTGAAGAAATTGGGCATGCGCGCGAGACGACGCGCGCACGTGCATTTCGTCAAATTTCTGGCGACAGCAATCTCGCGACGGCACGCGCGTAAGGCAGTTCGAACTATATATATATATATATATATACGTAAACAACACATCGCAGTTTTGAAAACCAATGCTGTTTCGTAAGAATTCGGAAGTGCGTGTGCGCACGTTTTTCTAAACGTCCCTGTTGCGAAGCCATGTGTGCTTTATTTGTTGTTTGGGTACTCGACTTTAAAATCCTTCCGACGCCGTAGATTTGTGCGCATGCCGTTTTATTTTTGGCAAGGGAGTCATGAAAACGTATGTTTTTTTATCGACGAGTGCGCGCGCATATTTTTTTGCAGCGGGTGGCAGGGGGGTCGAACCCGGCTGGGGCGGGGTGGTACGAGTTCATATGTAGGATGGACGATGCGGCGTATGCATATGTAAACTGCGACCCAAAACGGTGGACCGATAAAAAGCTCATGGGGGGGACCCGATTGGTTTTTAGAATCGATAGAATGTTTGTTTGCCGTGAGTTGAGAAGTCCACTGCGCGCGCAAACATCGCACCGACCCACCCGCAATTTGGTTTGCAAAACCCATGCGGCGGCGATTGCGATGACTGTTTGTTTCTAGCTGGCGCATCGCTACGGCCGCGCTAGCGCCTCGGAGGCCCGCGCGCAGAGCGGCCAGCTAGGCTGGTGCGGCCGACGCGGCCGCGGTGGCGCTGACCGCTTGGGGCATTCCACCGGCCTTCGCAGGCCGTGTTCACGCGAGGGTTCTTGAGTGCGAGTCGGTGGCCCTGGGCGGGCGCGGTATCATAGAGACGTCGGCACCCGCAGAAACGATGATGATTGCAGCGAGGTTTGTGACGACGATGGCGATGACGACGGCAGCCCAAACGTGTCGAGCTGCTAACAACAGGTCATGGCGGGCCTTGCCTACTTGGTTTCCTTGCACTCGTAGAGCCAAATTTGCACCATGTCCAGAGCTTCGGCCACTAGCTGTACCGCAAACCCCAGTCGATGCGACTGTGCACCAATTTGGGCAGCCACGCTCAGCGGAGGAGGAGGAGGAGGAGGAGGAGGAGAGCACGGCCAAGCTTTACGATGCGCTGGCGCGCACATTAATTATCCGAGGCACCGGGCATACCAGACGCTCCAGCAGCAGCACTGCGCGTCAAGTCCTCCTGGCCATCGCGTGCCCGCTCGTGGCGCGAGCGGCTGGCCAAGTTCGCCGCCGATTTCCGCGAACGGGCGCGGCGACGCGCAACAGGTTCATGCATGGCCGGCCGTGGGCCTCCCGCAGCCGTTCTCGGGAATCTCAGGAGCGCTCCTTGCAGCGTCCCCTGTTGCTGAGCTGCCAAGCCAGATCGAGCCATAGGGAGGGGCCTACGGCAGGAGGAGGTTGCGGAGGAGGAGGACGGCGACGGTGGCGACGACGGTGGCAGAGACAACGACGCGTAGGGGAAGGAGGAGTGGGAGGAAGTTCGGCTGTTCGCGAAGGCTCAGGTCAAGCCTGCCGCTGCTGGGGGAGTGCCGCGTCCCTTTGCCACATCAGACGGAGCAGGAGTAGGAGCAAAAACAGGAGGAGGCAGCACGTTGACCTTGTGGAATGCGCCTGCCGCTTCCGCACCGCGCGCAGGACGAGTACTGGGCCACTTGCCAGATCGAGTGCGTGCCGGGCAGCATAGACCGCCTCGACGAGCTGACGTCTGCTCGCGGGGACGACCATCCGGCGAGCAGACGGGCAGGAGGAACATGAGAGGAGGAGGATGCCTCCCCATCCCCTCTCTCTTTATTGCGAAGGCGGCGGCGGTAGCGACGGCGACGACCACGACGCTGACGTGGGCCCAAGTCCTCAGGGATGCTTCTTGGGGTCTCTTGGGAAGGCTCTCGGGGGTCTCTTAGGGGGAAATTTGGGGGTCTCTTTGGAGCCTCTTGGGGGCCTTTTCGGGTGTCCTGGGGGCCTCTTGTGGGCTTTTTGGGGCCTCTTGGGAACCTCTTGGGGCCTCCTGGGAGCTTCTCGGGGCCGAGTGCTTGAAATGTCCGTTCGGGTTTCCCGTCAAGACACGCTCTTGGAGCCGTCTTGGGGGCCTCTTGGGCCGTCTTAGAGGCGTGTTGGGCTTTCTTGGGGTTCTCTTGGGATGTTTTGGAGCGCTCTTGGAAGCCTCTTGGGGCGATCTTGAGGGCCTCTTCGGCCGTCGTGGAGCGGCAGGAAGCGGAAAAGGCGAGAACGCCCAAATTTGTCAAAAACCATTGTTGTGCCTCTTGGGGCCCTCTCGGGAGTGCCGTTGGAGGCCTCTTGGAGCGTCTTGGAGGTCTCCTGGACAGTCTGGGAGCGTGACGGCGTTTTGGACCGATCTTTTGGCGATTGGCGGCCCTCTTGGACCGTCTCGTGGGCCTCTTGGGGCACGCTTGACTTGTTTTGCTACTTTTGCAGCCCCGGGACCCCCAGGGCGGGATGGGTAGCTGGCCCCCCCCCGGACCCCCTCCCGCGACACCCCCTGGACCCCCCCCCCGGACCAACCACCCCCGGGCGGGGGAGTGATCAAAGGGAAGGGGCTTCCCTTCGATTCGATTGCGACATTGCGAGGTTGTTCTCTCGCTGACAGGCTTGAGGAGGGTGCAGGGAAAGGGGACGACGCAGACGACGACTGACGGAGGCGACGACTCGAGCAGAAAGCCCTCGCACTCGCCGACAGGGTCCGCGGAGTTGTTGCCGCCGTCGTCATCGTCGTCGTCGTCATCGTCGTCGTCGTCGTTGCACCCGTCGACCACTTGGACTCGCTCTTACACGTGCCAGAAAATGAGATGCACATATGGGGATACCCACGTTCTCAGCATTTATTAGCATCAGACATCGACCGCGCTCCCAGGACACGGTGCTCCTACATTACTATTGACCATCACGATCGACACCCGCTGCCTAGTATGTGATTACGCATATGGATAGGTTCGACATTGTCAATATCATCACCGCAGGTCTTGAGCAGTAGGAAGACGTGGCATCGATTGCACGTTGCGCGCCCGTGCTTGGGCCCCGCCCACAAGCGCGAGATGCCCCCTCAAGCTCATCAGCCCCGGTTCAGACTGCCAGCGTGATTTTCCGAATCCTGAGGCCTGGCGAGGGCACCCGCGCTCGCATATTCCTCCGTCGCCACGTGGCCCCTGGCTCAAGAGGCTACCTCGCTCTGCGCTCACAGCGCAGAGGAGAGGGTGGGCTGCGCCCGCTGCATGCCGGCTTCCTCGGCCACTCTGGAAGCCGGCTTCCTCGGCCACTCTGGAAGCCGACCGATGTCGAATTTCGACGACTCGAAGTACGACGAGTTGCGGATCGACTCTTGGAGCTGCTACACGGTTGCTAGCCGCAGCGACTACATATGCGTTCACCAGACGCAGCCTAATGGCGCAGCCTGCCAAGCGGCCCGAGCCTGGCATAAACGTCTACGAGTACACGCAGGGCACCAGCTCAACGGCACTGACTTCTACGCCAACTCCCCGACAGCCACTCCATCCACTTGATCAAGATCAGTGAGCTCAACGAGATGGCGGAGACAGGCCAGGAGGGCCTCCTGAAGGAGAACACGTCGAGAGCAGCGCGGAGAGCCCCCCCCCACCGTCATCGACCAAATCTGGAGGCTTTGGCAGAGGCTCCAAGGCAGACGAAGTGGAGCCACCGCTGAGAAAACCGAGGACACAGGCCCAACGACGACGAGGACAGGCAGCAGCGTCAACAGACGGTGCTCACCCGCCAAAGGAGGACAAGGACGGAGCGATGGAGGTGGGCGCAGCGGAGGGGGAAGAACGTCGCAGGGCTCGTCGCCGAGGCGGCAGGAGAGCCCATCGAGGCCAACGCGCAGACAAGACGGACCAACAAAGACAAGCATCTGCCGGCTCTTGTGCCTCCGTTTTTCCGCAAGCGCAGGCGGTGGCCTGGTCGAGCGTCCGATGCGTCCGCGGGCAGTGGGCCCGGAAGTGCTCCAGCGAGCTAGCCCAGAAGCAGGCCATGACGTCGTGCAGCAAGAGAGCCCAACTGGCGACGTAGGCTGCGGGCGCCGTCAGGGTGGCCGAGGGGAACGCGCATCCGCCGTCAGCACGGCGCAGAGTGGCTTGGAAGCGCTGCTGGGCGTCCAGTGGCCCGCCAGCGAGCTGCTCGAGGCAACGGAAGAGGACGCGGTCGAGCTGGTCCGTCCAGTCCCCGTGCGGGTTGGCGCGGAGGTGGTGCACGACGCATCCGCGAGCAAAAGTCAGGAGGAGAGCGAAGGTGCTCTCAGCTCGGAGGCCTGCCTGTCGCAGCTCCTGCAGGCGGGCAGCACGGGCCGCTGCCCTGGCCACGGCCGTGGCGCCGTCTAACCCAGCGTGGGCAGTCACTCTTTCGTCCTCCTCTCCCTCCCCTCCTCTCCTGCTCGAGCCATGGGGCAGTGTTCCCCAAGCAGGTGAGGGTGTCCACCCAGCGCCCCTGGACGGTGGCCGGCAGTTGGCCGCGCCCTCCAGCGGACCGCGCTTGCGTTTTCGCCTGGAGGTCGAAGGAGTCTGGAAGCGTGCGCAGACACTGTCCAGTGCGTCTGCAATGCCGACTGAGAAGAGCGCCGGCGAGAGCGGACACCCCTGGTCCACACTTCGGCACGAACGAAATGAGTACGGAAAAATATGTACAATACCCAACAGCGGTTCTTTTGAACAGGATTCGCTGTCGGTGTCGCCGCGACCTGTGTACATTTGAGACAGACGGCCGCCTGCCCAACATCGGCCGCTGTTGGTTTGGGACAACATTTGTTGTTGGGCATTGTGACCATCTTTTCCGTACCCATTTCGGGCGTCCAATACACCGTTGTTGGCTCGAATGCGGTTGGCGTCGTCGGCGGCGTCGTGCCACCAGTGGTGTTGTGTGTTTCCCGTGAGCCAGTGGTGGGCGTTTTGGAACAGCCGTTGAGCACGCCGACGAACGCTGTCCAGCACTGTGTCGCGAGGGGCGCTGTTGATGGCGGTGGATCAGTCGAACGCCAGGTCGACCCCGATTGCGCAAGCTTCCGAGAGGGCCGTAAGACATTTGCGCACGAGCTCGCACCCAGCCGCGCGACCAACAGCATATTGGTGGGGGCCGACTGCGCCGTGTATCTCGTCGATGTACACGTCGCAGGCGGCCCTCCCCCCTCCCTCCATCCATTCGTCCATCCTCATTCTCCATCCTCCCCCTCCGTCCCGCAGCCATGCCGTCCTCTTCCTTTTCCTCCTCCTGTTTCTCCTCCTCCTATTCCTACTCCTACTCCCACTACTCCTCCTCCTCCTCCTCCTCCTCCTCCTCCTCCTCCTCTTCCTCCTCCTCCCTCCTCCTCCCTTGCCCCTCAGCGTTCCCTCCCCGTGCCTTCCTCTAGCCTTCTCGTGCCCCCGTCCCCTTGCCTTCCTCGTGTTCGGCGGCGCGAAGTCTGCGTGGCCGAGGGGAGGGGGCCTCTGCCCGATGCGAGTTCTCGCGCGTGCTATGTTGTGTTCCGCCCCCCATCAGAACTCGGCCCCAGTCTCCCGGATGCGTCTTGGCCGAAGCTCCGAGGCGGATCCAGCCGTGGCGACGGAAACCCCCCGAAACCCCGATCATTTTTCAGTTACGGTTTTAAACTATCGGGCCTCGAATTTCCTAGGCGTCTAGCCGGGCTTCCCCCGCAGGAGCTCCTCCTCTTCCTCCTCCTCTTTTTCCTCCTCCTTTTCCTCCTCCTGTTCCTCCTCCTTTTTCTCCTCCTCCTCCTCCTCCTCCTCCTCCTCCTCCTCCTCCTCCTCCTCCTCCTCTTCCTCTTCGATAGGCACCGGGATCCTGCCCCAGGAAAACATGCGGGTAGCCTCCCGTTCGTCACCCCAGGTGTTCCTTCGGGACCCTGGGGGTGAGAAAAGATGTAGTCGTAGGCCGTCCCAGTCTGCGCCGCGGGGGAAGGGTCGCGCCTGGGGTCTCGGGGCTGTGCCTGTTTCGACGTGGCGGGCGGGGGCAGTCCAGGGTTTCAGTGCGCGGCGTTTCCTTCCGTGTTCCGTACTTGGGCTGTGGGTCTGCCACGTTCTGTTGCGACACCCTTGCTTGGCCGCCTTCCCAGTACTCCGCTGGGGCATGGGTGGTGTCGCGGGTCCCCTATGCGGGGGGGGGTCTCATCGGAGGATCCCCGCCCATTCTTCCCACGGTCGCGGTCCCCAGCCGTGGCGTGCGTGGGGGCGGGCTGTCGCCGAGGGAGTGGCGCCCCTCTGGTTGCTGATCGGGGCTGCACGCGCAGCGTGTCGTTATTTGAGGCCTCGAAATGCCAGAACGGGCTTGTAGAGCGGTTGATTGGCTTAGCTGTTGTCTCCTGGCGCACGTGGCGCGCGGCGCGGCCCGTCTCTCGCCGACGGGCTTGTAGAGCGGTTTTCCGTCGTTGCCTGCTCCCTTGGCGCGCGTGGCGGGTACACATCTCGCCTTTTGTTTGATCGCCGCGGTAAGACTCCACATGAGATCCGCACCGAATCCGCCCCTGTCTGTTGGCGCCCACCCGCTGCCGACAGGACGGCCTGGGGCTCGAGGAGACTCGTTCGCTTCTGGGGTGCTTCACTTCACTCCTCTTCTTCGATATCTCCTCCTCCTCCTCCACGACCTGCCCCTCCTCCTCCTCCTCCTCCACCTCCTCCTCCTCCTCTTCGATACCTGTCCCTCCCCTCCTCCTCCTCCTCCTCCTCCTCCTCCTCCTCCTCCTCCTCCTCCTCCTCGATACCTCCTCCTCCTCCTCCTCGATACCTCCTCCTCCTCCTCCTCGATACCTCCTCCCTCGACCTGCCCTTCCTCGATGCCTTCCACCTCCGAACGTCGAGCCGTTCCCTCTGCTCCTCGGGCCTTCCCTCCACGAGCTTGTTGGCAGGCCAAGCTCGTTCTGGTTGACCCGGAAGGGGGGTCCAGCGAAAATTGGGCGGTGCAACAGATGTGGTGCAATAGATTTGCGGGGTTGCAGTAGATCTGGAGAGGAGCACCAACGCGGAAAGCCAAGACTGCAAGCCATACCATCAGCATGCGCCACGACGCCAGCGATGCGTTGTTTCCTTCCATTCTAATCGACAGGAATTTCACGGAGAGGCTGCGGCCTGAACGTTTGAGCCCTGATGGGGTCGGAAACTGATCCGAGAGCGAGCGCGAATCGAATCGAAGCAAAAGATGTGGGGCGTGCACTACATCCCGGTGCAAATTGTATTGTTTGGTTTTCGCGTGCATGGCATCCGTTGCAGCACAATGCAATACATTTGCAGTACAACTGCCCCGAACCTGGAGCACCACCCTCTCTCAGCCGGACCCCTTTCGGGTCAACTTTGGACGCCCGAAATGGGTACGGAAAGAATGGGTGCAATACCCAACAACAAATGTTGTCCCAAACCAACAGCGGCCGCAGTTGGGCAGGCGGCCTTCTGTCTCAAATGGACACAGGCCGCGGCGTCACCGACAGCGAGTCCTGTTCAGAATGAACAGGAACCGCTGTTGGGCATTGTACCCATTCTTTCCGTACCCATTTCGGGCGTCCAACATCGAGCCCTTCGCTGGTCCAACATTCTGAGCTGGCCCCGCCCGCCTCTGAGCCTCGGCGCCGCAGGCGTCGCCCTGGTCCTGCAATCCCCTCGGCGAGCGGGCGCCCGGGACAGGCCCAGCCCCGATGCTGCTGCCGCCCCCGCTGTCCCCCTGTTTGTGAGGAGGGGGAGGAGGAGGAGGAGGAAAAGGAGGAGGACGAGGAGGAAGAGGAGGAGGAGGGGGAGGAGGACGGGAAGGAGGAAGAGGAGGAGGAGGAGGAGGAGGAGGAAGAAAAGGAGGAGGAGGAGGATGAGGAGGAGGAGATGGAGACAGACAGAGGGGCCGCCTCCGCGGCCGGTTTGTCTGTCTCCGTCTCTCCTCTTGCATGTTGGGCAACCCGTTCGTCAGTCGCCCTTGCTCGCCAGACCGCTGGCGCAGTATATCTCTGCCTCGCCGCCGAAGTAACAACAAGTGGTGTTCGTGTTCGTGGTTTTGCTCGTTGTTGTTGTTGTTGTTGTTGTTGTTGTTGTTGTTGTTGTTGTTGTTGTTGTTGTTGCTGTTGTTGTTGTTGTTGTTGTTGTTGTTGTTGAACATTAATTCTAAAGAATAATTATTGTTGGGACCCCTGGTGCACGGCCCCCCTGCGCCGCCTAGGCCGCAGCTACATTTTCATCATTTTCGTGAGGAAGCCTCAGGTAATTCGATGTGATCAAGATCCGGTTGTTTTGTTCCCCCCCGCTTTCCCTTGCAAAAAACACTATAAAATGACATTTCTTGTTCTAATATAATCAAATTTCAAGAATCCCTTGCAAAAAATAAGGTAAAGTGGACATTCGCGCGCGCAAGACGAAATCCTTCCAAAAGCTTAGTGTTCGGAGCGATTTTAACATAAAAACATCAAAAAACCAATGGTTTTTCAACAAAAAAATGTCAAAATCTCATCCCGCGCGCTCTTGCGGATTCGTAGGAAACCCAACACTTTTTAAACATTTCTGTCAAACGGGCTTTTGCGAGCAACTTTTTCGAACTTCTGCGACAACGGTTGCGCACCTGCCAGGGCCATCATCCCTGTCAAATAATACCATGCGGGACACATTCGTTTTTTCTTCGCGCGCGCACGCCGAAATCTCCAAAAACCATTGGGTTTCTTAGGAATTTTAGCACCGCGCCAGTGTAGTAGCCACGGTCGTCCGCAGGCCACGAAGTGAAGTGTCCGAACGTCATAGGGCGGGAAGCTGGGTGTGGGTGGTGGCGAAGAGTCGTTTGGAAATTTGGTAGAGCTTGAACCGGCCCCCCCACAAAGTGGGGGTATTGCCGCGTCGCATGAAAACCCTGGCACTGGTGAGAACACTGAGCGTTCGTGGTAAAATTGTTGTTGTTGTTGTTGTTGTTGTTGTTGTTGTTGTTGTTGTTGTTGTTGTTGTTGTTGTTGTTCGCGAGGACACTACTGGAGGCCCGTTGCTCGACCCCCCCCCCCCCGAGCAACACCACGGGGCCACGCACGGGCCCTGCAGGGCCCCTGGTCCGAGCAACGCCACGAGGCCTCGCCAGGCCGCTGCGGGGGTCTGCAGGGCCCGGCGGCGTTGCTCGGCAGGTCCTTTCGGGACTGCTGCGGAGCCCCATACAGGCCCCAAAGGGCGCACCCCTCTCACGGATCGTGGCCCTGGCCCCACAGGGAGCTCCACCGAGGTTTGATTTGGGCACACCCCTCTCGAGGATCGTGGCTCAGTGAGCTCCACCGAAGCTTGGTTTCGGCGCACCCCTCTCACGGATCGTGGCCCTGGCCCCACAGGGGGCTCCACCGAGGCTCCATTTCGGCACACCCCTCTCGAGGATCGTGGCCCTGGCCCCACAGGGAGCTCCACCGAAGTTTGATTTCGGCGCGCCCCTCTCACGGATCGTGGCCCTGGCCCCACAGGGAGCTTTACCGAGGCTTTATCCGTAAGGGCTTCGCCCCCTGCCGCCGGCCCCCTCTCTCGGAGAATGGGCCATGGAAGAGCTAAGTCATGAGGCTTTGGCGCTGTCGTGCAGCAGTATCGGAACTTCATGCGAGGCCGATTCGCAATCGGCAAAACCAACTGATCACAAGAGGGGTTACCACACAGGGCGCTGGTAAGACGTGTATGGTTTACGAGCTTGGTTACCACACCTTGGGATTAAAGGGCCGAGGGAGTACTCGCAGTTTGGGTTACCACGCCTTGCGATGGATGTGCGTGAGGGGTGGCACCGAATTTCAGAAATGTGGCAAATCCCCTGAGTTTTTGGACCCTGACCCCGCGGATCTGCGTGAGGGGTGGCACCGAATTTCAGAAATGTGGCAAATCCCATGTGTTTTTGGACCCTGACCCCGCGGATCTGCGTGAGGGGTGGCACCGAATTTCAGAAATGTGACAAATCCCTTGTGTTTTTGGACCCTGACCCCGCGGATCTGCGTGAGGGGTGTCGATTTCGAGCCCCCCCAGCAATTCAGACAACGCGCCCAGGGGGTGCTAAAAAATTCTGTTTGGGCCTCCCCCCCCCTCGCGCGGTCAATCAACTAGTTACAGTCACCAGCAAGAAGCAGAACTGTAACAGTGGAAACTACAATCTACAACTGGTACAGGAAACTGCGAATCACGGTCCTGCAGCCTGGTGGCCCCACAAGGGGGCCGGCGGATTTCGGCACACCCCTCTCGAGGATCGTGGCCCTGGCTCCAAAGAGAGCTCCTCAGAGGCTTCATTATGGCACACCCCTCTCGAGGATCATTTTGGCACACACCTCTGCAGGGCCCTGCACGATTCCATCGGAACCGTAGAGGGAGCCTATAGGATCCCTACAGGGTCCTGCACGGTTCCATCGGAATCCTATAGGGATCCTATAGGATCCTTACAGAGTCCTGCACGACTATAAGGAGGAACCTCTCGGATCCTTACAGGGTCCTCCACGATTCCATCGGAGTCCTATAAGGAGGAACCTATAGGATCCTTGCAGGGTCCTGCACGATTCCATCGGAACACCCTATAGGGATCCCATATGATCCCTACAGGGTCCTGCACGATTCCATGGGAACCCTAGAGGGATCCTATAGGATCCTTACAGGGTCCTGCACGATTCCATCGGAACCCTAGAGGGATCTTATTGGGTCCTTACAGGGTCCTGCGCGATTCCACAGGAACCCTAGAGGGATCTTATAGGACCCTTACAGGGTCCAACAGGTTTTCCATAGGAACCCTCTTAGGGATCATATAGGATCCTTACAGGGCCCTGCACGATTCCATAGGACGCCTATAGGGATCCTATAGGATCCTTACAGGGTCCTGCATGATTCCATAGGAAACTTATAGGGATCCCATCGGATCCTTACAGAGTCCTGCACGTTTCCATAGGAACCCTCTAGGGGTCTTATAGGATCCTTACAGGGTCCTGCACGATTCTATAGGAACCCTATAGGGATCCGATAGGATCCTCACAGGGCCTTGCAGGATTCCATCGGAACTCTATAGGGATCTTATAGGATCCTTACAGGGTCCTGCACGATTCTGTAGGAACCCTACAGGGATCCTATAGAATCCTTACAGGGTCCTGCACGGTTCCATAGGAATCCTATAGGGGTCCTATAGGGTTCGTGCAGGGTCCTGCACGATTCCATGGGAACCCTAGAGGATCCCATAGGATCCCTACAGGTCCTGCATGATTCCATCGGAGTCCTATAAGGAGGAACCTATAGGATCCTTACAGGGTCTTGCACGATTCCATCGGAACCTCAGAGGGATCCCATAGGATCTTTACAGAGTTCTGCACGTTTCCATAGGAACCTTCTAGGGATCATATAGGATCCTTACAGGGTCCTGCACGATTCCATCCGAACCCTATAGGGATCCTATAGGATCCTGACAGGGCCCAACAGGTTCCCATTGGAACCTTAGGGATCCTATAGGATCCTTACAGGTGGGAAGCCTATAGGCATCCTATAGGATCCTTACAGGGTCCTGCACGATTCCATAAGAACCCTAGAGGGATCCTATTGGGTCCTTACAGGGTCCTGCACGATTCCATCGGAACCCTGGATGGATCCTATAGGATCCTTACAGGGCCCTGCACGATTCTATCGGAACCTTATGGGGATCCTTACAGGGTCCTACAGGATTCCATCGGAACCTTCATAAAGGTTCCTATAGGATCCTCACAGGGCCCTGCAGGATTCCATCGGAACCCTATAGGGATCTTATAGGATCCTTACAGGAACCTGCACGATTCCATAAGAACCCTATAGGGATCCTATAGGATCCTTACAGGGTCCTGCACGGCTCCATACGAACCCTATAGGGATCCTATAGGAGCCTGCAGGGTCCTGCACGATTCCATAGGAACCCTAGAGGGATCCTGTAGGAACCTTACAGGGTCCTGCACGATTCCATCGGAGTCCTATAGAGGAGGCACCTACAGGATCCTTACAGGGTCCTGCACGATTCCATAGGAATCCTAGAGGGATCCCAGAGGATCCTTACTGGGTCTTGCACGACCCCGTAGGAACCCTATAGGGATCCGATAGGATCCTGACAGGGCCCAACAGGTTCCCATTGGAACCTTCTAGGGATCCTATAGGATCCTTACAGGGTCCTGCACGATTCTATGGGAAGCCTATAGGGATCTTATAGGATCCTTACAGGGTCCTGCACGATTCCATAAGAACCCTAGAGGGATCCTCTGGGATCCTTACAGGGTCCTGCACGATTCCATAGGAACCCTATAGGGATCCTATAGGATCCTTACAGGGCCCTGCACGATTCTATAGGAACCCTAGAGGGGATCCCATAGGATCCTTACAGGGTCCTGCGCGATTCCCTAGGAGTCCTATGAGGAGGGTGAGCTGGCCTCGCTGGCGCGTGGTCGGTTTTCGGACACAGGAGTGCGTGGGGAACAGTAAGGGAGCCAACGGAGATTCGGAAACACATATAGATTTACGTTAGCGTATGACAGAGGTGTTGCGCGTTGCTCCACTTCACCCCCCCGGGGCAACAACTGCAACGTGTGGCCTGGGGCAGTGCGCTCGCCCCGGGGGCGAGGACGCACCCACGGGCCCCGCTGGGGTGGCCTGAGAGAGTGTCCTTGCGTTGTTGTTGTTGAACATTATTTCTTCTTAAGAATAATTATTGTTGGGACCCCTGGTGCACGGCCCCCCCGCCGCGCCTAGGCCGCAGCTACATTTTCATCATTTTCGTGAGGAAGTCTCAGGCAAAACGATTGTGTCCGGATCCGGTTGTTTTGTTCCCCCCCGCTTTCCCTTGTAAAAAATACTATAAAATGAAAATTCTTGTTCTTACTTGATCAAATTGCAAGAATCCCTTGCAAAAAATAAGGTAAAGTGGACATTCGTGCGCGCAAGACGAAATCCTTCCAAAACCTTAGGTTTCGTAACGATTTTAACATAAAAACATCAAAAACCCAATGGTTTTTTAAGAAAAAATTGTCAAAATGTTCTTCCGCGCGCTCTTGCGGATTCCTAGGAAAACCAACACTTTTTAAACAATTCTGTTAAACGGTCTTTTGCGAGCAACTTTTTCGAACTTCTGCGACAACGTTTGCGCATCTGCCAGGGCCATCATCCCTGTCAAAAAATATTATGCGGGACATATTCGTTTTTTCTTTGCGCGCGCACGCCGAAACCTCCAAAAATCATTGGGTTTTCAGAATTTTAGCACCGCGCATCATAAAATCACACGAATCGCACCGTAGGTCCTCGAAAAACAGCTGCAAGACTTTTCAAAATTTCCCCCCGCGCGCGCTGTCCGAATCCTTTAAAAAAAAACAGTATCCGCGTCAAGACCAGTGGTGGTGGTTGCCCGTATGGCGGTGTGTCGGTCAGAGCGACGAGTATCCGAACATGCTCGATTACCCGCTCTTGCCGGCGCATGTCGTGGCCGCGTTCGCAACGCCGTATGCGAGCCCCGACTCTCCCGCCAGCAGGCGCATGGCCAATATCATTGGCCATTTGGGCCGTGTATCCAAGCGTTTTCGCGACGTCGCAGAGGACGAGTCGCCTTAGTATGCTTCGTCTACATTCATAGTGCCAGTGGACCTGTTTGCGAAAGCAGGAGAAAGTATGAGCATTGCATGCGTCATCCTTGGGGCTCCAAGGTGGCTCCAAGAGACCCCCAAGATGGCCCCCAAGATGGCCCCAAGAGGCGCCCATGAGGCCGCAAGAGGCGCCCAAGATGGTCCCAAGAGGCCCCAAGAGGACTCCAAGAGGGCCCCAAGAGGTTCCAAAGAGGCTCCAAGTTGGCTCCAAGAGGCCCCCAAGATGGCCCCAGGAGGCGTCCAAGCGGCTCCCAGAGTCTTCCGGGAGGATCCAATAAGCCCCCAAGAGGCCCCAACATGGTTTCAAAAAGCCCCCCAAAGCCTCTCAAGAGGACCCCATGCGGCGCCAGGAGGCTTCCCCCCTCGGGGCCCAAACAAGTGATCAACCTCTGCGGGTGTGTACTCCACGCCAGTGTAGTATCCACGATCGTCCGCGCGCCACGAAGTGAAGTGTCCTGACGTCATAGGGCGGGAAGCTGGGTGTGGGTGGTTCCCGAGAGTCGTGTGGATGTTTGGTAGAGCTTGCATTGCCCCCCCACGAAGTGGGGGTATTGGCTGGCGTCGCATGAAAACCCTGGCACTGGGGAGAACACTGAGCGTTCGGGTAAAATGATTGTTGTTGTTGTTGTTGTTGTTGTTGTTGTTGTTGTTGAACATTATTAATTCTAAAGAATAATTATTGTTGGGGCCCCTGGTGCACGGCCCCCCTGCGCCGCCTAGGCCGCAGCTACATTTTCATCATTTTCGTGAGGAAGCCTCAGGTAATACGATGTCATCAGATCCGGTTGTTTTGTTGTAATCCGTTTTCCCTTGCAAAAAACACTATAAAATGACATTTCTTGTTCTAATATAATCAAATTTCAAGAATCCCTTGCAAAAAATAAGGTAAAGTGGACATTCGCGCGCGCAAGACGAAATCCTTCCAAAAGCTTAGTGTTCGGAGCGATTTTAACATAAAAACATCAAAAAACCAATGGTTTTTCAACAAAAAAATGTCAAAATCTCATCCCGCGCGCTCTTGCGGATTCGTAGGAAAACCAACACTTTTTAAACATTTCTGTCAAACGGGCTTTTGCGAGCAACTTTTTCGAACTTCTGCGACAACGGTTGCGCACCTGCCAGGGCCATCATCCCTGTCAAATAATACCATGCGGGACACATTCGTTTTTTCTTCGCGCGCGCACGCCGAAATCTCCAAAAACCATTGGGTTCTTAAGAATTTTAGCACCGCGCATCATAAAATCACACGAATCACACGGACCGTAGGTCCGCATGTGTATTCCCATCATCCCAGGAACTTGACCCAAAAATGTGACCAACTCCGCTCTCTCTGTCTCTCTCTCTGTCTGCTCTCTGTCTCTCTCTCTGTCTCTCTGTATTATGTATTGTATGGCACAATTGCACCATGCTGGGCACATGCGCGCCCCGAATAAGTGACCAAGTTCTGTGGGTGTGTACCCCACGCCAGTGTAGTAGCCACGGTCGTCCGCACGCCACGAAGTGAAGTGTCCCAACGTCATAGGGCGGGAAGCTGGGTTTGGGTGGTCGCGAAGAGTCGTTTGGATATTTGGTAGAGCTTGTAATGCCCCCCCACGAAGTGGGGGTATTGCCTGGTGTCGTATGAAAACCCTGGCACTGGGGAGAACACCACGCGTTCGGGTAAAATGATTGTTGTTGTTGTTGTTGTTGTTGTTGTTGTTGTTGTTGTTGTTGTTGTGTGTGTGCTTGTGTGTATGTGTGTGTGCGTGCGTGCGTGCGCGCGTTCGTGAGTGTGCGTGTGTGTGTGTGTGTGCGTTTGTGTGTGTCTGTCTGTCTTTGTGTGTGTGTGTGTGCGTAAGCATGTGCGTGTGTGTGTGTGTGCGTGTGCGTGTGCGTATGCGTGTGTGTGTGTGCGTGTGTGTGGGCGTGTGTGTGTGCGTGTGTGTGAGTGTTCGTCCTCCTCGTGTTGTCACGCAGCGCGTATATTGAGGTAATGTTTGCTCCTGCCCCCCGGCGTTGCCGCTTGACGAATAGATCCACAGGAGATTCGTATTCGTTCCGCACGCCAATCGGCCCGCGTATGCCGGCCTTACTTTGCCCCATGCGGTGTGCGTTAGGGTCGCCGATCCGCGCGGATGTTCCTAACATTTCGGCGGGTGATATGCATGTTTTTCGCTGTCGATAGCTTCGTCCTTCTCCTCCATTCCCCCGTCCCTTTTCCCGCTAATCCTCTTCCCCTCGGCCACATTTTCATTCGAGGATCGCCTGCTGACTGGAGTTTTCTCGAGGACACCTCCTCTGCGTACGCCAGGGGATTTTTGGGGGATCGACGGCCACTTCCCGGAGGAAACTGCATGCAAAGTTATCGGTCCTCCCATAACAAGCCTTGCCGCGCTGGCAAGAGGATCTCCTAGTTCGACCAGGAGACCTTTTCCACTCAACTATCGGCACTCTGCTACCCACCCGTCTTCGCTCTCTTAATCCCCTCTTTCCATCCGTCCTGCTCCCCCCCGCCTTTGCCCGCACCCTCCAGCCATCCGTCCCCCACCCCTTCCTGGCTGTTCTCCTGTCCGCAGAGGGCAGCCAGACAGACAGCCCCACCATGCGTGGCGCCACCAACGGCGGTGGTGAATCAGGAGGGGACAACACAGACAGATACGGATAACCGTCGGCTCCAAGGAAAATGTAAGGAAAACATGGGGAAGACGAGACTTCAGAAGATACGAGGAAATAGTGAAAATCCGGGGGGGTGCGTTTATGTTGTGCGAAGGCCTTGCGGCCGGTGCCGCCGACCCTGAAGGGAAACGACGACGACAACGGCGGCGGCGACGACGTCGACGCTGACGTGGGCCAGAGTCCTCAGGTACGTTTCTTGGGGTAAGGCTCTCGGGTGCCTGTGGGGAGGAATTTTGGGGCCTCTCAGGATCCTCTTGGGGGCCTCTTCGGGCTTCCTGGGGACCTCCTGTGGATGTGTGTCTATTTAGTTGTGTGTCCCTGGGCCCTCTACTGCAGGGGAGCCGCCCTCTCGCCGCGCCCCGCAGCGTGTTGCACGCCTTGTGCTCCTCGCCGGCGGCCCGCCCGTCCCGCGCTCCCAGCTGACCCGCGGATCGTCGAGGAGGCCGACGAGAACGCGCTCGGCCAGGAGCAGGAGGCCGAGGAGCACCCTGGGCCACCGAACCATCGTGCCAAGACGTCCCAGATGGCCCTCCAGACGGCCCAAGAGAGGCCTCCAGGAGGGCCCCCAAGAGGCCCAAATCATGGATCTCCTCTTTGGGTTTTTTGAAGGATCTGGGCGTTCTCGCCTTGTCGGCTTCCCGACGCTCCAGGACTGGCCATGCGGCCCCCCAGGATCGCCCCAGGACGGCCCCGGAGGCCACACGCGCAGGCCCTCAGCCTGGAGGCCCTGCCCTTACTCGGGAGCCTCCCGGCCCTTCGAGAAGTTTTCTCCGAGCCTTCCGCCAGGACGCAGGACACTCCCCAGAGGGCCGGAGGGCTGCTGAGAAGCCCCGCCGCCTCCTGAGAGGGCCTCCTCGGATGCCACTCCCGGGAGGTCGCACATTGACTTTGCCCGTGTCCGAAGTCCTGCTTAATCCGGCTTGATCCCGCTCGATCCAGTTTAATCCCGCTCAATCCGGCTTCATCCCGCTGAATCCGCGGCCCAATCCGGCGTGACAGCCGCCCAAATGGGGCTTCATCCTCCCCAGTCCTTCCGAGTAGTTGCCTCCCAGTGGTTGCCTCCGAAGGCCTTCTCCTTCTCACTTCCCACCCTCGGCTCGCCGCTGACGTAAGCACAGGTTGGCCGAGCCACGGGAAGGCGCGGGGTCGACCGCGCGGGAGTTGCCGCGCGGGCTGCCCGAGCATGGCCGCGCGTGGGCGCCCTGCTCTCTCCGCGCGGCTCGTGGCGCGCTTGCTGCCCGCGTGAGTCAGCCGCCGCGTGGGGCCATGGCGCCCTTTCGCGTGAGGTGTATGATGGTCAGGAGGGGAAAAAACACACAGACACAATTAATCGTCGATCCCCAGGAAAATATAGGAAAATATGGGAAGTTGGGGGGAAGACAGAAACCCAGAAAATATGGGAAAATATGGTGAATAGTTTTATTTGTGTGTATTTGTTTGTGTGTCCTGTGGCCCCTTCAGATGGTCCAGCCTACTTTAGCCTTGGCCCCCAGGAGGGACATCGAGCGCCGAGGAAGAACCGACATGGGAGGTTGTCACGTGTCGGGCCTGGGAAGGTGATACTCCTTCGACGCTTCGCCAGCGTGGCGGGCACGCACCGTCTCGATATTTTCCGGGGTGCTCGGAGTTGTTTCTGGAATGTGGTCCTTGAGCACGACGGGAGCAACATAATGTGAGACTCCTTTCCGATGCGTCGCTCGATGGAGGTGGTTTCGCCCCTGTTCTGAGGTGGGCCATCCCGATCCGAGCTCACTGAGTTACCAAGGGCGCGCTTACAGTCGGACCGAGGCACAAGGTCGAGGTCGGTTCGGGGAGGGTACCCTACTGTTCTTCGTGTTTACTGGATGGTCTTGCGCATCATGGGGAGGGTACCCGCGGATGTTCTGTGTGTTTTGGCCGACGGAGAGTCGCATGTTCTTGACGGATGTTCTTCTGGCCTAGGTCCGATTGTAGCCAAGCCGCTGCACTGAAAGGTGAGCGGGCCAGTGCAGAGCTAAGCGGGAACACGTTAGGTGATATGAACTGAAGCAAAAGTTGCAAGTTCGGAGAGGAATTGCCTGGCAGTACCTGCCGAGAGGGATGACAAGGAGGGAGGATGAGAAGGACGGGATGAGAAGGAGGAGGCAGGAGCAGGAGGAGGAGGCAGGTGTAGGATGGCGTCACCTAGCTCTCACGCGATGTTTTGGGCCCTGCCGCTCGCATGGCGCTCCCGTGGGGGACTCCGCGGTGCTATGAGAAGAGGGAGCAGAGACGAGAGAAGGGAAGAAGAGGAGGAGATACGGAAGGATGAGGAGGGGGACGACGACGACGACGACGAGGACCCTAGGAGTTTAGGTTGGCCTCGTGCCCGCCCGCCAAGGGAAAGGAACAGAACACCAACGACGACGAAGGCGAACGACTACCGCGACGACGATAGACGGGAGGAGGAGGAGACGAGCATCGGATCTCCGACAGTGTCAAACTGACAGGCGTCAGGCTACACGCTTCTGCAAAGAGGTGGCCGATGCCATCTCGTTGACGGACGTGTGGCCATTCAATGAAGGAGCCATCCTCAAGATGTGAACAGTCCTGCCGAGAGCACGCAGGACAGCCCCCCCCCCTGCAACACTGCGATGAACCCAGGGAAAGCCTGGACAGGCGCAGCCCCCACCGGCGGGTGACCCCGAGGAGGGAGGGGAGGAAGGAACGGAGTGCGAGGGCACGGAGGGTCGCTGCCAGGCCCTGCCCCGGCCTCGCGACGACGGCCCCGGGAGCCCGCAGGCACCCCCGCGAGACACGCGCCGCGAGCCCCGGGACGCAGGGCGGCCGGGCTTCGAGCCCCCCCACCAGCGGCTCACACGCCGAGCCCACACGCCACGGGGGCGGCTCACGACCGCGGACACTCTGCCGCGGGCGGCGCGGGTCGCCCCGTGCGCTCGGCTGCGCCGCACCGCTGCCGATGGCCGCACCGCTGCCGATGGCTGCCGTCGGCACAGCGTCCCTCGGGTCGGGCGAAAGGGGGGGTTTGGGAAAGGGGGGGTTACGAAATCTGCTGCATGTAGCTGGTTTCGGCCCCGCCGCCGGGCCCATTCCTCGATACATGGGCGCCTTCCGGCGCCAGGCGACGCCGGGAAAATCAGCTACGTGGGCGCCCCAGCGACACGGCCTGTGCAAGGGAGGCCAGCATCCCGAAGAGGCCGCGCTCGATCCGCACGTGACTCCCACTGCGCCGCAGCTGCTGCAGCCATTCCGCTGGTCTCCAGGGGCTCCGCGGGCTGCGCTTCTGGCGCCTCGGTCAGCGCACTGCTCCTGAGCGGGCTGAGTGGGACGACCGCCGAGGCCGTGCTGCTGAGAGGTGCGCACTCATTCTCGGGCAGGCACATGTGCTGCAACTCCGGAGGCATCTCGCTCCGCCTCGGCGAGCTTCTCAGCCGAAATCCTCCCGGCACGGGCCTCGATCTCTGGAGATGTCACCGCCGCCGCCACCGCCAAAAGGCCAGCCTCGAGTCGCTCGGCTCATGCATCCTCTGCGGGCGGCGCTCCCCGGCCGACCGAGTTGGTCGGCGAGGCAGCCGCTCCTGCTCAGGGTGGTTCTTTTCGCCCGCGACGAGAGAACTTGGGCGGGGCTCGGCGAGAACTAGAAGGAGGCGAGGGCGGCGCGGGGAGCGCCTGGCGCGGACTCGCGGGGCCCGAGGGGACCTGGGCCAGGTTGAGAGCAGGAACGATGTGGCTGCTGCTTCTGCTGCTGCTGATGGTGATGCAGATGATGCAGATGATGCCGATGGTACTGCCGATGGCGGTTGTCATGATGCAGCTGTTGATGCTGATTGTCATGATGGGTGATGAAGATGATGATGATGATGATGATGATGATGATGATGATGATGATGATGATGATGATGATGATGATGATGATGATGATGATGATGATGATGATGATGATGATGATGCGATGTTGATGCTGATGCTCATGCTCATTATGCTGCTGCTGATGAGGATGAGGATAAGGATGATGGTGAGGAATAGTTTATGGATGAGGATGAGGATGAGGATGCGGGTGAGGATGCTGCTGCTGCTGATGATGCTGCTGTTGTTGATGATGAAGGCGATGAGCATAATGCGTACGATGACGATGATGACGCTGCTGATGATGATGATGATGATGATGATGATGATGATGCGAATGAGGATGTTGCTGATGATGATGCTGCTCATGTCGATTATTTGGATGATGATGCTGATGATTGTGGTGATGGCGATGGCGATGGTGATGGTGATGGTGATGGAGATGATGATGATGATGATGATGATGACGATGATGATGATGATGATGCTGATGCTGACCATGCTGGTGGATGATGGTGGCGATGAGGATGATGTTGGTGGATGGTGCTGATGGTGATGATGATCATGGTGATGTTGCTGCTGTTCATGAGAATGATGTTGATGCTGATGCTGAGGCTGATGCTAAGTCTGCTGATGATGATGCGTATGAGGAGGAGGAGAAGAGGACTATGATGATGATGATGCGGATGAGGACGAACATGGGGATGCTGATGATGATGGTGCTGTTGTTGATAGTGCTGATCCGTATGATGATCAGTATGCTGATGCTGATGATGATGAGATGATGATGATGATGCGGATGATGATGATGATGATGGTGGTGGTGGTGATGATCATGGTGATGGTGATGATGATGCTGCTGATGATGATGATGACGATTACGCTGATGATGACAGGGCAGGTGAGGATGAGGATGAGGATGGGGATGAGGAGGATGCGGATGATGGTGAGGATGAAGATGATGAGGATGTGGATGAGGAGTGTGACGGGACGCTGACGAAAACCAGTACGGGACGAGGATGAGAATGAGCATGTGGATGAGGATGGGGATGGGGATGCGGATGAGGATGAGGATGAGGGTGATGATGGCGATGAGATTGATGATGATGATACTGGTGATGATGATGTTGATGATGTTGATGATGTTGATGATGATGTGATGGTGATGGCGATGGTGCTGCTGCTGCAGCTGATGATGATAATGATGATGATTGCAGATACGAGGATGCTGAGGATGGTGAGGTTGATGCTGCTGATGATGAGGAGGATGAGGATAAAGATAAGGATGATGATGATGATGATGATGAGGAGGAGGAGGAGGAGGCCGATGATGACGATGTTGATGATGATGATGATGATGATGATGATGATGACGGTGGCTGTTGACAAGGATGATGTTGCTGAGTAAGCTGATGCGGGTGTTGATGCTGGTGCGTATGATGCGGATGATGGCGAGGATGAGGATGCGGATGGTGGTGGTTGTGGTGACGATGTTGATGATACTGATAAAGATTATGATGATGGTGATGATGATAATGACGATGATGCTGATGATCATGATGATCATGATCAAGATCATGATCATGATGATGACGACGACGACGCTGATGATGATGGTGATCATGATGTTGGTGCTGATGAAACTGATGATGATAACAATGTTGATGCTGATGATGGTGTCGATGCTACTGATGATAATGATGATGGTGGTGGCGGTGATAATGATGATGATGATGGTGATGATGATGATAGTGATGATGATGGTGATGGCTATGATGAAATGAGGTGGAGGAAGGGCGGAAGGGAGGACGGAATCAGGAGGAGGAGATGACGAGGGAGGAGGAGGAGGAGGAAGAAGAGGAGGAGGAGGAGGGGGAGGAGGACCAGAAGGGGGAAGGACGTGTCTCTGTTTGATCCTGGCCCCCTCCCTGGCCCTCCGAGGGCGGCTGCGCGGCCGCGAGATCCAGGCTTTGCGGCGCTCGGCAGAGGGGGACAACTGAGACATCTTCGGCCCTCCTCCTCCATTTCATCCTCCGCCTCCTCATCCTCCTCCGTTTCCTCCTCTTCCTTTCTCTCCTTCCCGGCTCTTGGAGCCGCGGCGTTTGGAGCGTCTCAGTTGTTGTACGCGTCGGCCACCGCCCCCCTCTCCCTTGACGGTGGCCCTGACGAGATTCTGGGGAGAGATTGCCTTTTCGGGAATGAGGGTGCAAACCCGAAGTGCTTGGCTACTGCTCCAGTGGTGGGACGGGGCTGTGCTCGGGTGGTGGCCGCAGTGCCGCTCAGCGATGGGCTGTGTACCAAACCTCGCACGGTGCCCCGATCGAGAGGACAGTCAAGCCTACATGGACGATGGTGTGGTTTGTGTGTCAAGCGCACGCAGCTTTCGCCTTCCAGTGGCTCTTCAGCCTATTTGGCATTGCAAAGAAGCATCGGATGAAGGTCGCTCGCATAGATTGGTTTCTGAACAGTGCCCCCTCCACCCCCCTCACTTCCCCCGGCCTTCCCCAAAACCATGCGGGTCGCAAGCGCGCCCCGTTCCGGCCGGTGTTGCCGTCGGCGCCGTCGTTGTGGTAGTGGTGCGCACTGCTCTGCTAAGGACGCACGTCCTTGGTGCAGAGAACGTCATCACCACCAACCCTCTCCTCATCCTCACCCTCCTTCTCCTCGTCCTCCTCGTCCTCCCCCTCCCTCTTCCTTGCCTCCTCGTCCTCCTTCTCGTTCTCCTTCACCTCCCCATTCTTCTCGTCCCCTATCCTCCTTCCCCCATCCTCCTCGTCGTCGTCCCCATCCTCACCCTCCTTCTTCGCCCTCACCCTCCTCCTCGCCCTCCGAATCCTCCTCTTCCTCCCTGTCCCTCGTGATCGCCCTCCTTCCAGGGGCGGCCGCCGATAGTTCAGCTGGCCGTCCGAGCTCAGGATGGAAGGTGCATCTCCCGAGTGCGCGCGCGTGCGGCCAGTGGAGGAGTCCGAGGACGACGGGCCCGTCGCGCAGAAGGCTGCGGATAGGAGGAGGAGGAAGAGGAGGAGGACGACGAGGAGGAGGAGGCGGAGGAGGAGGAAGGAGTAGGAGGAGGAGGACGGAGGAGAAGGAGGCGGAAAAGGAGGAAGAGGAGGAGGAGGCGGAAGAGGAGGAGGAGGGAGATCAGCAGCAGCAGCAGGAGAAGGTGGAGGTAGGGTGGTCGAGGAGTGGCGGCAGGAACAGCCAGAGAAGGAGCAGTGGACGACGACGCGAAGCTGGGGGGAGATGATGAGGAAGAGCAAGGACTTGCTTATGGGACTTGCGGAGGGGACGAGTAAGAGAACGGGGATGAGTGAGAGTGACGACGAGGAGGAATAGGAAGAGGAGAGAAATCACGAGCAGGAGGAGGAGGAAGAGGAAGAGGAGGAGAAGCAACATGATCAGGATCAGGAAAACGAATGCGAGGAGATGCAAGGGCAGGATTTGGAGCAGGGGGCGAAGGGGGAGGACAAGTTTCGCGTGACCGACACGGCTGAACAGAACAGTGCTCGCCGAGAGATGTAGCGCTTTCTCCACGTATTTTCTGTCAGGTGAAAGCAGTGACCATGAGTACCACGCGCGTTATGCCACCCTCACCCAGAAGGCGACGACGCTCAATTGAATTTGCCGCTGGTAGACGTCAGCGTCGAGCGCAGGTTGGGCACCACCCTCGACGACGCATAGATAATGGGACAAGTACGCTCAAACGATCCCACCGTTCAAACCTTACCTCTCGTCGCCAGGACAAACATACATACGACTCCATGCCATGGCTTCACGATCGTAGCCTACAGCGCCGGCACATGATGGGCATAACGCAACAACAATGCAACAACACAATTGGTGATGCGACTGAAAGTGATGACCGTGTGCAAACAGACCACGGATACACAGTATCGATGTCCGCATACCGAACACTGCGCATATGCACCGGCCACGATGGGCAACATTTCGAGCACATGTGCCTTGTCGATCACATGGCCACCACCATGAACCGTATGGGAAATACACCGTGGAATTGGCAGCGTTACCAAGGCGCTTCGCGGAAACGGATGGGGCGTTGGAAATGTGGACCCAACCATGCCGTTGTGTCAGGTCTCCGTTTCGAATCCGCAGCGTCGCGCGTGTTCCCATTCACCCACCCACCCGCTTACCTCCTCCCACTCCTCCCTCCGCTTCCGCTCTGCGTTCGCATGCCTATTTCGGCATTCGCCTTACAGGTCTCGTGCCCCGATAGGGAGTCACACCTGTGGCCACAATGGGCACAATCGCATGTGGGCAGGTGCTCATGTGTGCAAACCCCTCAGGCGGCGCGGACGCAGGCGAACCCGCGACCATTTTTGCGGATCCTTCACGCCGATCGTGGCCCCACACGGAGCTCCACTCAGCGGGCGTTTCTGCACGCGGGTCCGCCCCCATGCGAGCACATTCATCACGCAGACCGTGGCCCCATGAGGGAAGTTCCACCTGCGGCTTCAGTGGGCGCAGATGCATACGGACCCGCACCCATTTCGGCGCACAGCTCACGCGTTTCCAGCCACAAAGGAAAGCCGAGCTCACGGTTTCCGCGGGCAGGTTCGCATGTTGGCCTCGTCCATATCGGCACACCAATCACGCGCATCGTGCCTCACGGGGGGGTCCACCTACGAACTCACTGGTCCCGTTCGTATGCGGGTCCGCGCCCACTTCGGCACACCTCGCACGCGGATCGTGTCCCACAAGGGGTTCCACAGGTGGACAACGGACCGGCGCATGCGCAGCCTACGAGTCAACTGGCGCCGCTGCAGCACAACGGCTTTGTGATTATGTGGAACATTACTTTCATTGCCCTGTGTGGCTCGATTGGCAGCGATCGCGCCTCTGGCATTCCGTCACTCATCACCGCTTGGCTCACGCCGTCTTGGGCGTTGACATGGACGACCAAGCTCTTTGTCTTCCAGCAGCTTCTACCGATGTACTGTATCGAACAGTCAACCACATCCGACACCGTAGGTTTCGGGACGCTCAGGCCCGTTCAGCATACATCAAGCAGTTCATGAACCAGCTTTTGCACGAGGCCTGTCGGGGGCACGCTCGGCTCCGCCAGGTGTGTCAGGGCAGCGGCAGCGCCCGCCCACTACGACGACCACGCGCCGATGAGGCTGCCGCGCGGCCAGCCCGTCGAGTCCGACGACGATTGCAATAACACTTCCTCCTCGCCTATCCTCTGCTTGTTTTCACCTCGTCCTCGTGCCCGCCGACGCAGCTCTACACTCGCAGAGTGATCCGACGTCTCAGAGCGAGTGGGGCCACGGCGAGGGCGCGGGACTGCTTCCATCTTCGATCCGACCTCTACGCCCCTTTCGTTTCTAAACGCCAGTGCGGCCGCGATCCTTACAAGACACGTTTCCGACGGCATGCCCGACAACGCCTGCGTCGACACCGACAGGATCTCTGGCGCCCCGACTGCGAGTGCACCGACGCCGGCATCAACGCGAGCACCGGCGTTGGCTTTGGTCAAGACTTCCCGCCTAATTTCATCTCTGCGCCTACGCCGGCAACAACGCCAACGCCACGCCAACGCCGACGACAACATCGATGCTCATATTAACACTAGCGCGTACGCCAACGTCAGCCCTACAATGCCTTCTTCGGCAAGCCTTTGGTCCAGACCTTCATCATTGCGCCTACGTATTGGCGCCAACACCTATGCCAGTACCAGCGCCAACGCCTACACTACCATCGACGCCGGCATCGACCTGGATACCAACTCCGGCGCCTACGCCAGCACGAGCGCCAGCGCCTCTATCAGCAGCGTCGCCAGCATCGACGCCGACACCAGCCCTGGCGCTTACAGAACCGTCTACACTGGCAGCGACGAGAACGCCGAAGCCTCCCTGGACTAACAGTACTGACATCTACATCGATGCCCTGACGATGACCGCATGCAGCATGGCTGGGGGCACTTCGAGTGAGGTGTCGCGCTGGGCTCCAGCACACTGCACGCCACGACCTCCAAGGAGGGCAGGTGCATTGTGCAGCACGCCGGGAATCCAGCGCGCGGCAGGGCCGGTCCACCGTCTAGAACGCTGCATTCCGCGTCCGGGTCCTGCACCGCAAGCGCCTACACCAGCGCCGACGCCAGCACCGATTCCAGCACGAGCGCCAGCGCCTACAGCAGCGCCGACGCCACCACCGACGCCAGCACACCGAACGGTGAGTTGCCCGGCGCACGGGTGTCCCAAGAGCGCTCGGCGGCGCCTTCGCCTGCGCCGACGCAAACACCCACGCCAGCATCAACGCCTGCGCCAGCACCAGCACCAGCGCAAGCGCCTACACCAGCGCTGACGCCACCAACGGCGCCAGCTGTTCGGTGCACAGGTGACCAAGGCACGCACGCTGACGACTACGCCAACGCCGACGCCATCACCGACGCCAGCATCAACGCTTGCGCCTGCGCGGGCACCATCGCAAGCACCTACACCAACGCCGACACCAGCACCGACTCCAGCACGTGCGCCAGTCCCCACACCAGCGCTGACACCAGCGCCGACACCAGCGCATTGGTGAGCTGCGCGGCTCACCGGTGTCCCAGGTGCGCACGCTTGCTTCTACGCCAGCGCCGACGCCAGCACCGACACCAGCATTAACGCCGGCACCGACGCCGGTACCAACGCTAGCGCCTACACCAGCGCCTACGCCAGCACTGACGCCAACACGAGCACCAGCGCCCACACCAGCGCTGCGGCCACCACCGACGACAGCGCGCCAGTAAGCTAATTACCCGGGCCACCAGTGTCCCAGGAACGCACGCCGGCGCCTACGGCAGAGCGGACGCCAGCGCCAGCATCATGCTTTTTGGCACCGAAATTCGTGACATGTTCGTTGCGTCTTGATTTGTAGATGCGGGTACTGGCTCTGAAATTCATGATTTGCTCTATGCGTCTTGAAGCTCCTGCGGATCTGGCGCAGACTCTAAACGTCACGGAGTTGGTGCGTCACGGAATTCTGCCCTATCTATCGTGTGACGCTACGCTTGCGTCAGCGCCGAAACCAGTACCGACGCCAGCATCAACGCCAGCGCCTCCACCAGCACCGACGCCAGCACCAACGATGGCGTCGACGCCAGCAAAGACGCCAGTATTTGGGCCTGCGCCTACGCTGGCGCCAACGCCAGCGCCTACACCAGCGCCGACGCCAGCATCGACGCCAGCAGCAAGGGTGCACCGGTGAGCTGCCCAGCTCACCGGTGTTCCCTCCAGCTTGGTCGCTAGTACCAGTCCCAACACCAACCCCGACTCCCCCACTCCGACGTCCAACACCGACGCCAGCACCAACGCTACGCCAGCAAAAATGCAGGCTGGCATCGACACCAGGACCAACGCCAGCATTGCAAGCGCCTACACCAGCGACAACGCCCGCACCGACGACAGCACGAGCACCAGCGCCCACCCCAGCGCCGACGCTAGCGCCGACACCAGCGCACCGGTGAGCTGCGCGGCTCACCGGAGTCCCAGGAGCGCACGCTGGCGCTTACGCCAGACGCCACCAAGACACCAGCATCGACACCTGCGCCGACGCTGGCACCAACGCAAGTGCCTACACCAGCGACAACGCCAGCACCGGTCCGTGAGTGGCACGTATGGTCCGCCCCACCGCCTCCCCCTGGGGGCCCCACGCCTGGGGTGGCAGGGGACCGCTCCGTTCTCCCCCCCCCTCTTTCTGCTGCTGTGGCCTCCTCCCTCCCTCCTCTTCCCCTCTCCCCTGTCTCTTGCCTCCTTCCTCCCCCCCTCCTCCCCCTCCTTCCGCTGTTGCGGCCCTCTCCCTCCTTCCTCTTCCCCTCTTCTCCCGTCGTCGTCGTCGCCGCCGCCTCCACCGTCGTCGTCGTCGTCGTCGTCGTCGTCGTCGTCGTCGTCGTCGTCGTCGTCGTCGTCGGGGGCGGTCCTCCGTAGCCATTTTGGCTCAAGTGGCAATATCGGGCAACCCCCGCCTCGAGGGCTGAGGCGGCCGCGCGCGAT